AATAATAATAATAATAATAATAATAATAATAATAATAATAATAATAATAAAGTAATGGTTCAGATTCTCTTAAAGATGGTTCTTTGGAAGGTCATACACAGTTAATATCTTATCTGGTGAAGGTGGCTCTTTAAACAGCCGTAGCCCTGCTAAACTAACAAACTAATGCCTAGACTGAACAGAGCCAAAACTAAAGTGGACTGCTGTCATCTTAAAACACCTCATTATCAAACAACAATAATGTTATAACATTTTTAACAAAGTTCTCACGCCTATGCCTGCAAAAGCCAGATTGCACGACTTCTGCATTGCGTGTGTGGCTTTTTTCATATTATTTTACGCTATTTTATTATTATTATTGTTATTATTATTGTTATTATTATTATTATTATTATTATTATTATTATTATTATCCATCCATCCATCCATCCATTATCTTTTATCCACTTCTTCCATTTTGGGTCACAGGGGTCGCCGGTGCCCATGTCCAGCAATCGTTGTGCGAGGGGCGGGGGACACCCTGGACAGGTTGCAAGTCCATCACAGGGACACATATAGACAAACGAGACAAACAACCATTCACTCTCTCACTCACACCTAGGTACAATTTTAGAGTTACGAATCAGTCTAACATGCATGCTTTTGGTCTGTGGGAGGGAACCGGAGTACCCGGAGAAAACCCATGCATGCACGGAGAGAACATGCAAACTCCACCCAGAAAGGCCCCCGGACCGGGATTTGAACCAGCAACCTTCTCACTGAGAGGCAGCAGTGCTACTATTTGTGCCATCATGCTGCATTATTATTTATTATTATTATTATTATTATTATTATTATTATTATTATTATTATTATTATTATTATTATTATTATTATTATTATTATTATTATGCTATCACCAGGTTTCTCTTGTAAATTAGCCCTCGAGTCTCAATGGGAACTAACCTGTATGAATAAGTTTGAATTAATTGTTTTACATGGACAACATGACTTGGTGACTTGAATCACCAAAAGCTAGAAGTTCACAAGTTAGAAACTTGTTTATTCAAGGGAATTTGTTTGCTTTTCCGATAAGCAAAGGTAACCACTGGATTAGTGATAAGCCCCTTGCTTGCAGCCTCTCATCCAAGGGGTCCGGAAGCTAACCTCAGCGCCGTGGTATTACCTGCAGCTTTCTAAGGTAGCCTCTTTAAGACTGCGACGAGGTGATTCATCCAGAAAATTAACGACCTTCTATCCGTGAGTCAAACCCTATTCTCACTCTGTTACCTTGATCCTACCAAGCAGCAGGGTTGGGTCATCTGGTCCAGAGAAACTCACGTTATGGCCGCTCACCTCTTAATTTAGCGTTGCAATTGTTATCTGTTCTGGTAATCCTTAGGGCCCAGGAAACGTGCACTAGGGTGTTGTCACTCACTGGCTAGGGAACCTTTTAAAACCTCCAATTTTTATGTTATAGTTGAACCAAGCTTTACCATGTGTTTGTTCAATAAGGATGAAATAATAGTCCAGATTTATGCGTTTTGCTTTGCTTTAATCAATAATTTCCGCAGGGGTACAGCATCAGGCACAATTTTATAATGATTAAATTTCATGATTACATAGGATACACTTTCTTCACTAAGTAAGGCGGTGAATTCTTCCTGATGACTTCTGATCCCCAAGAGCCCTTGGGGATTTTGTGAACACTACCTTCACTCAGACCTTTCACACTTCAAGCCAAAATATGTTCTTTCTCAACTCTCTCATGAACCAGAAACACCTCTGAGCAAAACTCACTAGTACCCAGTTTAATACTCTTAAATTTATCCTGTATGCTATGATTCTAATCTGATGAATTTATTTATTTAGAACAGATGAACGGGGAAGACCCCTTACCATGATTCTGAGGTGACCCTCAGAGAATCTCTGCGATGATAAGAGGCATATTTCCAGTCTCCCAGGTGGGGAGTACAGGCCAACCCCAAAGCAAATGCAGCTATCCCAGATTGAAATGATCAGAGCTTTGGACGGCCCAGGTCAAGCTATTGTTAGAAGTATGAAGATCCTCCAGTCCGGTTATTGACAAGTGAAGACTTAATTCCAATCCCGTTTCAGCGAGAAGAGAAATAAATCCCAGCCTCGTCTCAAACTGGTGAAATCCAACTTCTTTTGGGCTTCTCTGATCCTCCGAGCTGCTTTCTGCTTGTAGTTCCTTCTGCTCGACTCTTCGACTCAGGTTTGACCAAGTTTCATCAGTTTGATCTCTATTTAAAGACCCCTTTATCCTCCTCCTCTTAAGGAGGGGTTTAGAGGTTCTTTCTTGGAAAATTACATCATCTTTTTTCTAGTATGTGACTGTTGTTTTGTACCTCAACCGGTTCTAACCGGCTTTTGAGGTACTTTCCAGAACTTGTTTTTGCTCTATTTTGGGTACTTTCCAGAACTTGCTTTTCACATATGTTTCCTGTTTTTGCTCAGAAGTGCGTCACCACGAGATGAGTCGAGATGAACTCCATGACCTCTTGTTTTGTTACCATAATGTTTTTCAATCGTACATGCTTCTTTCTAATAGTTCAAAATAACTCCTGCAAAGCTTTACAAGGGTTATACATTGACCATCATTCTCAGTTTGTATTTCATGCATTCATAGCTGGCTTATGTTCCTTTTCTTCTGCTTAAGGCATGTACAGACTTGTTTGGACGTCCAAGGCATGTTCAGACTTGCCTATGGTTACATCAGGTCTCGGATATGCTCCTTTCACTTCAACACTTTTCAATGACAAGTAAATCACACAATTATACAATGGATTACACAATTCTTATAAATCAATAGTTGATTACTTGTTGATTATTAGTAAAACACTTTTGATTACACATTTTTATATTTTGCTTGATTTAAAGCAGAAGTTCAGTCCTTTTGCTTTCAGCTGTGGAGGAGAATGGATCGGCCTTCACCTTCATTGAAGCTGGCTGTCCGTTATTCCATCATTCGGACACCAGGTTTATCAACAATTGTTACTGGCACTTAAGGAAGACTGTGGAAGCCGGTATTTTTCATCATGTCTCCAAGGAGCTGAGACGAAGGTGTTGCAGGGTCCAAGCCAGGGTGACACTAAAGGCTAAGTGGATGGCTAGCTTCCAAACCACCAATGATACAGACCTTCGATTTCTTCGGTCCTAATAGGAAAATGTGAATAAGATGGACGAGCTGACGACATGGCACTCACTAAACACCCAGGAACTACCAGGAAAGCAGCTTGATCTTCTCAATTGAGACATGGCTAACCATTGACACACCAGAAGCTAATGTGGATCTTCAATGATACCAGGGCCAATACAGCCATTAAGGCATGCGGAAAATTAAAGGTGGGGGTTTCATACTATTTGTAAATAACATGATGTAAACCCACGTGTGTGACTGTAATGATGCCACTTTAAGGATACAGACCCAGCATCCTGATGCATTCATTGCTATCTCTGGGGATTTTAACCATGTAACCTTAGACTACTAGTACACACTTTCTGCTCCACATCAATATGCGAACTGCTCGACCTGAAAGGACAAAACCATCAACCTACTGTATATACTAATACCAGAGGAGCATACACTGCCCGTTCCCTTCCACCTCTTGGGAAATCAGACCATAACCTGGTTCTTCTGCAGTGGCGATACAGCCCACTGGTAAGGAGACAACCCATAACCATGAGATCAGTCAGGAGGTCATCTCATGACGCAGAGGAGGCACTCAGGGACTACTTTGAGACCACTGACTGGAGTGTGCTGCTGGACTCACATGGTGAGGAATTTGAGGGAGCAGTAGAGTGCCTCCTTGTTTTTTTCTGAACTACATTTTCTGCAGTGCCAGTGAAAACTGTTCACTGTTATGCTAACAGCAAACCCTGGATAACCAGTGAGGTAGTCTGTCCTAAACAGGAAGAGAACTGCTTTCAGGAACAAAGACCCAGAGGAGTTAAGATGTGTGCAAAGCGAACTAAATATGTGTCTGAAAAATGTGAAGGAGAAATACAGAAGGAAGCTGAAAGGAAGGCTGAGGGAGAACAACATTCGAGAAGCATGGGAAGTCATGAAAACTATTACAGGCTGCAAACAGAAAATAAACAACATCAACAGAGGGAAACATGGAAAGAGCTGAGGATCTCAGACATTTTATTAATTAAACTTTTTCACCACAAATACTCCCTCCCCCACCACCCACGTCTACCCCCTCTGCACCCGTCCTATTACCTAACCACTGTACAGCCACCTCCCCACTGCTGGGTCAGACTCTTTCACCCTGTCTGGCATTCTCATCACTGGGCTCCCCGTTATTGCTGCATCCATCTGCCCTTTGGCTTCTACTCCATCAATTATTACTATTGTCCTGGTGCATATAACTAAAGAGGATCCACTACAGGAAAGTGGCTGGACCTAACTGGGTGTGCCCAAGATTCCTGAGGGCATGTGCTGGCCAGCTAGGTGAGTCCCTCCAGTAGGTGTACAACTGAGCCTGCATCTGGGGAAGGTTCTGTAAATTCTTGTGTATTGTTCATCCATCCATCCATCCATTTTCTTCCGCTTATCCGGGGTCGGGTCGCGGGGGTAGCAGCCTAAGTAGGGAGGCCCAGACTTCCCTCTCCCCAGCCACTTGGGCCAGCTCTTCCGGGGGAATCCCAAGGCGTTCCCAGGCCAGCCGAGAAACGTAGTCCCTCCAGCGTGTCCTGGGTCTTCCCCTGGGCCTCCTTCCGGTGGGACGTGTCCGGAACACCTCACCAGGGAGGCGTCCAGAAGGCATCCTAAACAGATGCCCAAGCCACCTC